TAACACCTAGAACTACAAGTTTAGCATCAAAATCAAAGAAAAATCTCAAGAACTCTTAAAGTTTTATTTTCACAGCCGAGGGTCCGATTCACGTCATATGAATTTCCTTTCTTACCAAATTTTACAGGCACAACTTAAATATAATATTAAACTTGTACCGGGCTCTGGAACCAAAACACGGGGCCGATACTATCAAATTCAAACATATTTAAATTTCCAAAAACTCTTACAATTTCAGTTAAATAATTTCTTCCAAAAGTTCATTTCTCGGGCTAGGGACCTCGGAATTCAATTCTGGGCATACGCCCAAGTCCCATATTTTTTTACGGATCCTCTGAGACCATCGAATCACGGGTCCGAATCCGTTTACCCAAAATGTTGACCGAAGTCAACTTAAATTCAATTCTAAAGGCAAAATTAGCATTTTCCTCAAATTTTCACATAAAAGCGTTCCGGATGTACGCCCGGAATGCGCATGCAAATCTAGGTGAGACAAGAGGAGGTTTTTAAGGCCTCGGAACATAGAATTAACTTTTAAAACAAGTCCTTCGTTCTTTCCTTAGAAACATTCATACGCGGATCTTACTTACCTTATTTGTTATCCTTGCTCAGTTATAGTAACTTTTGCTACTAGTCTGCCTATGGCAAGACCGATTCTCTTGAATCGGGTAGATACAGCTTCGACCCTATAGATCTGGGTATGATCTTGTCTTTATACACTTAATACAGAGGGAATATCCTCTTGATTATGGCGTATCTCCATTGATTTTTTCGTAAATAGGGCTTGTGGAAGATTTGCCCTAAATCTAATTCCAACAAGGATTTGAGATTTTCATCTCTTTTACTGGTTCGGGTTTGCATGAGATATATTCTTTCCTTTATTGTGTTTGATTGATTGATTTCCATGTTTGTTTGTTTAAATTAACTATTATATAAACCCCTCCCCCAACTCCCCTAAAACGGACCTTAATCATTGTTATTCTCTCACTCTCACTTATTATATACTATTCTAAAACTTGGACTCTTGGCCGCTTGAAAGCCAAGGCCACTGGAATTCGACTAGTTGACCTTTTCTCAATGCGAGCACTGCCCCGGGTTCATCTAAAACCCTTGTAAACTCTAACGCATCGAGTCCTTGGGGTCTACTGCTCTCATTTTCATTGAAGCACTATTGGGACTGCTCCTCTTGTTTCGGGCATCCGGGCCGTTTGAATGGTGTTTTGGGTGTTTTTTTATTTTTTTATAAATTAAAATTTTTTAATCTTTTTATCCAATGGTGGTAGGGATCATTCCCTATGGTCTCCATGATTAAATACTGCTGATATAATGAATTTACACGTTGACGTAGGTCTTGTTCCATATCGCATAAACTCATTATAGGTGATCACTATGACTTAACTACTAGTTATGGATTACTTGAATTTACTCTCCATTTGAGTATGCATGTTGTTTCAATGGAACTAGTATCCTTAATGTTGATATTCACTTAAAGTATACTCTCCATCTGAGTTAGGCTTCTTTAAATTATAGAGGGAATAATTTGTCATTACATATGTATATTGTAATAATAGCTCTTTTCGCATCGAAACTTGTTATTCAAGATGCATGGATTATATGTATGTAGTGTGTTTTAAATTTTAATATTCAATAAAATATGGTGAAGAGTACCTCTCTGCAAAATTTATTAGCTACTTATTAGAATGTGAATTACATCTCAATCGCCTGCACCTGGAACACCGCAACAAAATGGTGTAACTGAAAGAAGAAATAGGAATCTTATAGAATGGTTAAATAATGATGATTTATTCTAGTTTGTCTTCGTCTTTTTGGGGATATGCCTTAGAAATAACAAATCTCTAGCATATCATTTGTTAGTTGATCCTACTGGTGGCTCTTGCCCTGCCTCTCTATGGGGGGGCCTTTTTTAGACTAGTTTGCAGTTAGAAGTCCCTAGAGTTGAATTAATAATTAATAGAAGTCCCAATAGAAGTTTACTGACCTGGCTCTTCAATTAGTAAGAGAAAACAATTACATAAAGAGTGAAATTCCATAAAATATATTCCATAGGGAACATATTCAATAAATTAGACAAAACGATTGATCCAGTTGAGAGCGTAGCGTAGGATTCTAGCAGACTTCATCACATTTTCCTGCTAAATTTTGATTTAGAAATTTGTTCATCGTCTCGCAAGTGGTTATACAAGAGAAAGTCAAAGTCTTATGAGACTATTGATCGCTATAAGGCTCGTGTGGTAGCCAAAGGATACAACCAGCACAAGAAAGAGATTATTGGTTTTCTTGCTTCCGCTTACTCATATGCGCTCATCAAACCAACTCTGATCTTTGGGAGGTAAACAACAGTTGAAGCGGATATTTTGAAATGACAACATCAAAGATGTACTGAATTTAGTTCCTTCAAAGTCAGTACCTTTGATTTCTACAGAATTGTGGACTTGGCACAAGCCTAGTCGGCGGCATATGTGGGTTTGGAATTGTCCAGCACATGTGTTAAAAGGGAAAACAAATATATTGGAGGCAAGAATGGATGTATGTGATTTTTTTGGTTATCCCAAGGTGGCAAAATGTGGTTTATTCTATTGTCCTAGTGAAAAGAAGGTAACTATTAGCGTAAAGGCCAAGTTTCTTGAAGAGGGCTATTTGATGAACCATGTTCCTATAAGTGAACTCGTTTTACAAAAACTAAGCAAAGGAATGGTAACTCAGTCTTCTGAAAAATTAAACGATCAAGTACAAACCCTGAAAGTCGAAGTTGATATACCATTGCATTTTAGTAGTGGAAAAATGTCAATAGACTTGATGTCCCGCAAGAACAAGTGCCCGAAGTCATACTGTTAAAAAGTAGTGGGAGTAATATTGAGCAAATTGCACAATAAGATGAAGTCGTTTATATCCCTATGGTGTAGTTACAATTGATGTAGTGCGTAGCCGTAGTGAGAAAGAAGTAAGAATGCTAGTTCGTTATAGACTATTGGGAGAATCATACAATAGGATCCCTGAGGAGCCTAATAATGAACTTGTTAATTACGACCAAGTACTACAAGATAAAGATGTTGAAAAGTGGGCTGTTAAGAAATCAGAGATATGGTTTATGTACTCTAATCAAGTCTGGGATCTTGTTGAACCACCTGATGGGGTTGAACCCATTGGATGTAAGTAGATTATAGGAAAAAAGAGAGGTGTTTACAGAAAAGTGCAAATATTTAATGCAAGTCTTATAGGGAAATGGTTCGCTCAAAAGAAAGAATCGATTATGAGGAAACTTTTTAGCTGGTAGCCATGCTTTAGTCTATTAGGATTCTCTTATCCATTGTTGCTCATTATGATTATAAAATTTAGCAAATGGATTTCAAGACAACTTTCCTTAATGGAAGTCTTAACGAGTGAATCTACATGATGCAACCATATAGTTTCATAGAAAGTGGCAAGGAACACATGATATGTAAGCTTAAAAGGTCCATTTATGGACTGAAACATGCATCTAGGGCATGGAACACTTGTTTTGAAAAGGCAATTAAAACTTTTAGTTTTGATCAATGTCTGAGGCTTGTGTATACAAGAAGTGGGATGGGGATAAAGCGACGTTTTTAATTTTATATGTGAATGACATATTGCTCATAGGAAATAATGTGGGCATGTTGGGTTCAGTTAAAGAATGGTTGTCCACGCACTTTGATATAAAAGATTTGGGAGAAGCGGCTCATATCCTTGGGATCAACCTCATGCGAGATCGCAAGAAAAATATATTAGGCTTATCTCAGTCTCTTTATATTGATACAATATTCTCCAGGTTTAGCATGCAAGATTCTGATAAAGGATTTCTTCCTTTCAAGTATGGAATTGCTCTATCTAACGGTCAATCTCCTAAGACTGGTAAAGAGACAGAAAATATGAAGACGGTCCCTTATGCATTTGCTGTAGGGAGTCTAATATACGCCATGTTAGGCACAAGGTGAGAGCATTGGACCACGGTTAAGCATATAATCAAGTACCAAAAAAGGACTAGGGATTATATGTTAGTCTATCACACATATGACCTTGTACATGTTGGGTACATTGATTCAGATTTTCAATCGGATAGAGATTCTAGAAAGTCTACCTTAGGAAATATGCTTATTCTAGGAGGTGGAACCATAAGTTAGAGGAGCATCAGGCAATCTTGTGTTGGTGATTCCACCAGGGAAGACGAATATGTGGCAGCTTCTAGGTGGCCAAGGTGGTGATATGACTCGAAAACTTCCTAAGAGAGTGGGGTATAGTTCCTTCAATTCAAGCACCAGTTACACTTTACTGTGATATTAGTGGTGCGGTTGAGCCACGGAGCCATAAAAGAGCAAAGCATACTGAGCATAAATATCATTTAATTCGCGACATAGTGCAGAGAGGGAATGTAGTAGTCACCAAGATTGCATTAGAGAATAACTTTGCGGACCTATTTACTAAGGGCTTGTCACATAAGACTTTTATGGGCATGTAGATGGAATGGGTGTTAGGATTTTAGACGCATCGTTATGAGTCTAAATGGGAGATTATTAGAATATACTATAAATCAAGCGCTTTGTTATTGTATTCTTTATGGAACAAATATTTATTTATTTATTCAATTCAAAAGTTTTATTTTAAATAGATCATGTATTTGTCTCTGTATCCTTTGCTTATATAGTAGATGATTTAGTATATAGAGTTTATCTTATACAGAAAAGATTAAATCATCAGTTCTTTTAAGTCATAAAATTTATGTTCACAATCTAATGATGGAATTGGACAAACTATCGGAATGATTGTAATACAAGATTAAATATAATTTATCTTAATTATGGGAATGGTTTAATCCCGACTTCTTCTGCTAGTACATTTTGTATGTATTGAACGGATCAAGTAGATATATGTACTTTATACTTTCTTAATAAAATAATTCTCTAGTCCATTCAGTGTACTTATACTCTTAATCTTGATATAATTATTATTAGTTGTGTGTATATTTTATTGTTTTGATTTATTAAAAGGCAAGATTCTTTTATGGGTTAATAATGTCACGACCCAAACCAATGGGCCGCGACGGGTGCCCGAGTCCTACCTGTCAAACACCCCTAAGAATGTGTCTAAAATATAAACCTGAATAACATCTGCTGAATTACGAGAATAAAGTACATGAAGGAAATCTGCCCAAAAAGGCATACATACACATACGTACAACATACGTAGAGTGAGCCGACAAGGCTGCTATAGACAACTATACATCTCAAAACTGGAAGCCGGCAAGGCCACACACTATCTAACTAGACATATTGTCTACAAACCTCTAATAGAAACATAACTGTACAAAGACGGGACTGAGCCAAAATCAAAAGCAGCTCTAGATCAAGTGGAGCATGCCAACTCTCGCTGATAAGGGATCCTAAGAAGAGGGACCGTCAACTTTATAACCTGCACATGCGGGCATGAAACGCAGGCCCTGTGAATAGGGCATCAGTATGAAAAATGTACTGAGTATGTAAGGTATGAAAATTAGTACGTAAAAGACATAGATGAAACATGGAATATAGAAACACGTCTTTAAAACTAAATAACTTTGTAAATTCTAAAACATTTATAATGTCATCACGTGCGTATAAATGTCGTGTCATGCATAGGTATGGGTGTACATTATATCATAGAGCCACTGAGGGCATCCCATCATATCGTCTCAGCCACTGTGGGCAACATTATCAACATATACCAGCTGATCAGGTGGTGGTGCGTATATAACGCCGTAACCTTTTCACATATCCCATATACATATATTTACATATATATGCGTATATAACTCCATCTGGTCATGGGTCAATGCACATGCATAATTGGGTGAAATGCATGAAAAATACATAAAAATCTCAATATTCCTTCCGGGAAAAACTTTTTTTCAACTGCATATTATTCTGAGACCCATGAACAGAAGATAATAATAATTCTCATGGGGAATCAAGAATATAGACACCCTTAATATCTCTATGAATAGAGCAATTTATGAAAAATGTGTGTTTGCTCGTTTCTTTAGTATAATTTGGACCAAGACAAAAGAAAGAAGGGATGGCCTTAACATACCTGGAGTAGGAAAACTCCGTATAATATTCTTGGCGAAGATTGCACCGTACTCTTCTAGAACCGTAAAATTCTACGTTGCTACTATTCCAACAAATTCTCGTTGGAAAATTTGCTTCTGTTTCTAACATTTTTTTAAGAAGATATATATATCAAAGTGAGTTATTTAGCTTCTATTTGTAATATTTCTTGTGGACCAAAGACAGAACGTTTTTGAAGGAATGATTCATGGATAATTCTTATAAGCTCGTTATGGGTTCTGCAGTAGCTTTTGGTTCAAATGATTGGGATGATTTCATGCAAGAAAATGGAGAATTTACTCCAACTTTAATAGTGCATAATGAACTTCAAGCTGAAAACCAACCAAGTATTGAAAGTGAAAATGGATGTTTGAGTTCTACTTATACGTAAATCTTATTTTGATAAGACTTATAAAATGTCTCTTTCTTGCCCCTTAAACCTTAATGTGACACATGTAAAAATGGATAATGAGTCACCTTAAACTAAAAGGGGTCTGCCACGTTTCTTTTGGGGTGTAATTTTGTTAATTTTTATCCACTTATTAGTTAAATGGATAATGTTCTGTTACCCGGTAATTAACCAATTACACGCATAATTTAAAAATTGCCAAAAATTACTTAAAATTCTACTTATTTTTAATATACTTTATATATACTTTATAAATTATACTACCGTGGTCATATGGTACCTTGCATGGTACTAGTTCATAATTATTGGATATTATTGCTCGACCCGTATTTTATCTCAAATTGGCCACTTTCAACGAAACTCGTTTTATTAATTCGTGTACCTCTTTATCCTTCATGACACTTCTTTATTGCTTGTTATAAATAGCATAAATGCATTAACATCAAGATGATCTCATCCCTGAGTCTACGTCAATTAACTAAAGACGAAGTTTTTAACGTATGAAAACGCGAGATGTAACATCCTCCCCCTTTAGAAACATTCGTCCTCGAATGTTAAACTCCCCGTGATATATACAACCTTGGAAGGGTTGCCTTTGTAACAACACTACTACCAACTCTCCCTGTATAAGCTTTATAATCCAACGCCACACAGGACCACAATTATCAATAACTACAATGGCCTCACACGACCAACGACAATAACCAATAAAAGAATTCGTACACGTACCTTATGGTTATGATGTCTCCATCGGAACCTTCTCTAGAGGAGAAAATAAGTAGGGATATCTAGACTTCATGTCTTCCTCGGCCTCCCAAGTTATTTCTTCCACATTGTTGTTCCTCCAAAGTACTTTCACGGAGGCTACCTCCTTATTTCGTAGCTTGCGGATTTGCCAATCTAGGATGGAAACTAGAATTTTCTCGTATGACAAGTCCTCTATAATATGTACATCATCTATGGGCACCATTTGGATAGGATTGCCTTTGTACTTCCGTAACATAGATACGTGAAAAACCGTATGGACAGACTTCAATTCTGAGGGCAATTCTAACTCATTAAGCTACTTGTCCCACTCTTCGATTGATCCTATAAGGCCCAATATACTGTGGGCTAAGTTTGCCTTTCTTGCCAAATCTCATCACACCCTTCATAGGTGACACCTTTAAGAATACCCAATCATCAACCCCGAACTCCAAATCTCATCGCCGCACGTCAGAATATGACTTTTGATGACTCTGAGTTGTCAACAGTCGATCTCGGATCAATTTACATTTTCTATGGCTGCTGAAGTAGGTCTGGCCCAAGTAATTCAGATTCTCCAACATCGAACCACCCTATAGGTGGCCTACACTTCCGTCCGTAAAGAACTTTGTATGGAGCCATCTGAATGCTGGAATGGTAGCTATTATTATACATGAACTCAATAAGCGGCAGATGATCATCCCAGCTACCCTTGAAGTCTATTACAAAAGCTCATAACATATCCTCCAGTGTTTGAATAATACGCTCAGCCTGTCCGTCTGTCTGGGGATGAAATGATGTACTAAGACTTACTTGAGTCCCCAATCCTTTTTGGAAGGACCTCCAGAAGTTAGCTGTAAATTGAGCTCCTCTATTCGAGATAATAGATACAGGGACACCATACAGTCGTACTATTTCCTTAATATAAAGCCTTGCATAATCCTCTGAAGAATATGTAGTTCTAACGGGCAGAAAATGGGCTGACTTTGTAAGCCTATCAACAATCACCCATAGCGAATTGAACTTACGCTGGGTACGNGTACAAGGTAAGCCTATGATGAAATCTATATTGATTACTTCCCATTTCCAAGTCGTAATCTCCATAGCTTGCAATAACCCACCAGGTTTTTGATGCTCAATCTTAACCTGCTAACAGTTAGGACACTGAGAAACAAATCCTGCTACATCCTTCTTCATTCCATCCCACCAATACACTTCCTTGATATCATGATACATCTTTGTTGCTCCTGGATGGATAGAGTAATGAGAATAGTGAGTTTCTCCCATAACCTGTCGATGCAGCCCTCCAACATTAGGCACACATAATCGCCATTGATATTTGAGGACTCCATCTTCTATAATTTCAAACGGTGTCTTCCCCTTCTAAAGAGTGGTATCCCTATATTGAACTAACACAGGATCCTCATACTGCCATTTCTTTACTTCAGTTACTAAAGAGGATGTTGTCGTATCCTGAATAGTAATTCCAATATCACCTGAGTCTAGTAATCAAACTCCAAGACTAGCTAGCTGATGAACCTCATGGGCTATTCCCCTCTTTTCTGGCTGTAAATACGACAGGCTACCCATAGACCTACGGCTGAGGGCGTCGGCTACTACGTTCTCCTTCCCCGGATGGTAAAAAATATCAATGTCATAATCTTTAAGTAGCTCCAACCATCTCCTTTGACGTAGATTCAAT